GTTTAAAATGCAGACAGTAGTGTTGCAGCTTCCGTGTTGAGTGTTTTTCCTTGAGGAGACGGTGAAGTTTAAAGCACTGCGGCTGCCAATGTTGAAAAGTGTATGTTACGTGCAGCAAAATCCTTGACTCGTGGTGTTGTATGAATTGTTGCAGGGACGGTAACGAGGCTTAGGGAGTAATATAAAGAAGGAGGTGGTTAGCTTTCAACAACTGTTAGTTCTGGCTAAAACAAGAGAAAAGATGTCTCTCCTCTCCTCTCCTCTCGTTGCCATTTACCAAGCCCCCGTTCCTTGTGCCCATTGGTGTTTTTGGATCTGAGAGACGCTTTCGGCTTCGTGCCACAGCCGAGAGGCATCTTCATACAATCGAGTCCTTCCAAAAGTCCTCCATCACTCACACACGCAGGCTCACACTCCATCAAACCGTCCCACTGTCACGGGCACACATTTAATTATTCAGTCACTAATTATCTCGCGTACCCGGTTACGTAACCGAGGCTGCTTTTGTGAACGGAGGGAAGAGGAGACTTGTAAGGAGAACTTGCCGGAAGAGCCGAGCTTTTGAGAGGATTTCATCTGGCCTCGCTGCTGATGCAACTTCTCCGGAGCATCTGAAACTGCTGGAAAGAAATGGAAATAGAGAATATCTATATCTAGTTTTAGATGAGGCTCAGTTCAGATCCACTTGTAGATACCAAAACACACAGCCATGTCTGTCTCTATTTAAATATCCCTTCATCACTGTGAATGAATGCTTGCTGGTGATGTACGCATCTCTTTTCACTTACCTCCTTTTTCTCTTCAATTAATTTTGACCCTCTGCTTTCCCTCTCCCCTTCTATGACGACTTCTCTCTCACACCCACTGTTCCTTAGTTTTTATATCTCTTTGTGTCCCCTCTCTCCTCTGGTGTCTTAATCTTCCCTTCATTCTTTTCCACCTTTACCTCCCCTCCCTCCTTCCTTCCTTCCAAAATCCTCTCCACTTACACTGCCCTGTCTCAGCGTGAGGCCGAACAAGCTGTGAGGCTGTTTCAGTCAGCACAACTTTTGGGAAATTGTCCATTTTTAATCGGGAACTCGGCTGAAGTGCAACAGCACAAGGTGAGACTGTCAGAAGGTCTCTATTTCTGCTATTCATCATATGTCACTCCTACTTAAAAACCCTGCCTTCGAGTGTGGCCGTTCGGACCACCTATATACTTTTTTAAACTTTATATACTTTGGCCTGGTGGTCGGTTGACATGTCGTTCGAACTACTTAAATAAGAATACCTCAGCCTTAAGAGTCCATATAGGTCAAATAAATGAAAGACACATGCGTTTGTTTGTCTGTGATTGCATGCAAATGTCAACAAGTGCTTGTCATAGCGTCACCGTGGCATCGGTTTACCTCGGGCTAGCCCAGGGCCTGCATGGTGTGCGGGGGTGGTGGTGGGGAACATCACCTTTCACCAGCAATGTCCACAGTCCCCGTCCCTAATGTGTCTAAACCTAGCTGGGATGTGACTGAGTGCCCTGCGTGCCTCTGACATCATGGAGTTTCCACTGCTGCGCTCAACTCATCTCAAAGATGACAGCTTTGATATTTCACACCGCATGCTCACTCGCAGGGGTTCCCCCACCCACCACCCCTCCTGACCGTAGATGGACTCTGGAGAGTCGCTGTTTATGTGGACAGGGGTCATCTGATAGCCCAAAGGTTATACCTCCAATAGTTCATGTTGTGTAGAAGTCAAGGAGCGTGACTGTCTAAATAATGAAATTACTTTACACAAACCTTAAATCTTAGCTGACATTTTTGGTGTCAGGGACGGGCTGCTGCTATATTCCAAATAAGGATGTGATTGCGCAATTTTGGCCCCATTTTTGAACAAAGTATCAATGTAAAAGTTGATAGTATGCTGGAGCAGCACTTTATAGATGTAAAGCATTTTATCTAATCATTAAAGTACACTTCTTAAAGTACATATTTACTTCTCAAAGTACATATTTACGAGTGGATAGTCTGCTGTAACACTATCCGATACGCTTGTGCTATACAGTAAATGAGGTGAGCACCCACAGAGACAACCAGCTTGATGATTGACTGTAGTGTAGTGTTGAATGGGGTTATTCCACTTGGAAAATTTCAGAAATATCAGCGGGTGTCGGTTCCAATTTTAAAACGTTTTTATCGTAGGAGTTCAGATATTTGCTTTAAAATCATGTCCATTTTCAATTCCTATGACATGGACTTTATAGATTGAATGATGCACTAGATTAACCCTCCCCTATGTTGGAAAAATTCATTTTACCAGTACAATTTAGGAAAATACTTTCTCCTGTTTGGTGGCCCTTTTTCCTGGTGCTTGGTAAGCCAACTGTTTACGAGCAGCAGAGGAATGCTGCGCTATTCCAGTGGCTTACCTCTGAGGCTTCCTTTCCTGTGAGCGACTTGTGTCGAGACTTTTTCTTGAATATCAAAGGTTTGTCAGGTCAGTCTTGCAACCTGATACCATTGTTGGACCGAGCATCTCGGGAGTCAGTGGGAAGGAGCCATTTCCATGTTTGGCCAACATTCCTCTCTGCACTAGCAGCTGGTTTTCGTCTTCTCCTATTTTAAAAGAAACCTTGTTTGTGCAGAATTTCCCGTATGAATGGACGCAGAGACTTCACGTACAAACACATCAACTACAAACAGTTTACACGTCACAGCAGGTGATGGATGTTCACCACAATTTGTTTTTGCCAATTTGTTATGAGCGGTATGATACTTTATAAGACCAGGACTCAGATTTTCCATCACACATGCACACTCACACAGCCAGCAGAACGAGGTGATATGACACCTCTAACTTTAGTCTCCTTCTATGCCGCTCTGGATAATCCAGTTAGGATGCACTATCAGGAGGTTTTAGCTGCCTTGCTTCCAGAAAAACAGACTCCTGGCTCCAGTCTGGCCTGGACCGGCCCATTATCCAGAATAAACCTTCGTCAGATAAGTGCTCGTTATACTTGCGCTGTAGGATCTCCCCATACACAGCTATAGACATAAATACAGCACATCCTGTCAAACCTCATTATTGGTATGTGTGTGTTTGTGTGCAGGTTAGTTGTTGAGTGTGTGTTTGTGTTTGTGTGTGGGAAGGTCAGAGGTTGCGGGACCACCAGCTGATGTCACTGACCTAAAATGAGAGGAGTGTCCTTGATGACAGCCTGGCAATTATACTTGTCGTGACAACCCCTAGGAATGAGCTGTCATGTGTCACTTCTTCCTCAGAACCGAGGGCAATGGAAAAAGAAAACACACACGCACACACAGCTGTGTCAGCAGGGGGAACCCTTCTGAAACAATGTCTGGCATGCTTGGGGATTTGAGAGAGGAGTGCAGGAGGGATTTAACCCATTCTGGAGAGCAACAAACCCGGGCATGAAACGGGGCCACAGACCCTCATCACCTCACTCCTCTGAATGTGTGAACTGATTGTCCTCGTTTCTAATGAGGATAATGTCACCACTTTTTATGGTGTTTCTGACCCTTTGTGAGAGGAAAATAATCTTCCGTGAGCCTATAAATCATGTCCTGTTTGTCAGCCTGCCTCTCCTCGACGCAAAACGTATTTTCCAAAGCTGTTGCTTGTTTTTTGGCATGTGTAAAGTAAGATTAAGGTTACCTAAAATAACCTCTTGAGTCCGTGTAATTCAACCCGGAGACATTCTCTCATCTTCCAGCCATCCATAAAGAAAGCCGGATTTGAGTGTGGCAAGCAGCGCTGAAATATTTTCTGCCTTGTTTTGAAGCCAACGTCCAGGGATAGCCGTCACGGGACCTTCAGCACTCTGATGTCTGGAACACACACACACACATACACATACAATGTGCGTGCATAAACAGCTAACACACTCTATCACTTGTCGAGTGTATTTGGCACATGCTTGTCTTGCTGTACAATGTTTTAATTTATCTGTGGCTGTTTATTAGTTCTGTTTTCATAGTTCCTATCTGCTGCCTTTCAGTTATTATTACGAGAGTACAACATGCATGTAAGGTTTCTACATACTGCACACACGGACTCAAATGTGTCGTTTATTGTGTGAGGCTACTAACGGTATCGGTCTCGTACACACACACACACGCACAGCTTTTTAAAGGCTGGTAATTAATCGAAGCGGTTGGGTGATAACAAGCGCCAGCCACGTGTTTTTCCAACAGAGGTGCCGGTGCCAACGTGCTGCCGGAAGTCACAGCCCCACCCCCTCCCATCACACTCTGCACTCTTCCCAGGTGGATACCCCTAAACACAGATGCACATGCACACAGACTTTCACAAGTACAAGATAACATGAGCGTTTCCAAGGCCAACAAACATGATCAAGATAGAGTGAATGTCTTCTTCATGTCATCCTCCTACGTAGTCCGTCCCCTTTTTTATTTTGTCTGTCTTCTCCACCCACTCCTCCTCCTCCTCCGTCTACACAATCTATGAGTCATCTGATCCAAAGGGTGAGATGCAGCATTCAGTAGATTATTTTCATCTTGCGGCGCTACACGAGAGGCAATCTTCACGTTTCGTCCTCTTTCATCTCCCTCCTTGGCTTTCATCCAACCGTCACCCGGTGACGAGCTACAAGTTCAAACCTTGTTGCTTGTCGGAGATTTCGTGCAGTCTGAGGTCATGTCAGCCCCCCGAATGCACTTTATTTGAGCGCCCATATGGTCCTCTGGAGTGGAAAGTTTCCATCTCTGCTTGCTGCTCACGATTGAACGGCAGCTTTATCAGCGTTTGTGTCTCATCAATCACAGGAGGTGGTCCCAGTCACAACAGTCTTTGCCGCCGTGATGGGAACTTGCTGTTTAATCATATGTTGTTGCAATATTGATCACACCATCATTTACTGAAAACATATTGTGGATTTGAGTCATCAGAGACATATTGGTGTCAGCCTCCCTCTCTCTGTTCTTCCTCTGCTGTTTCCTCATCTCTTCCCTCTCCCAACATGTCTATTTCTTTTCCTCCAGGTTGCGGAAACAGCAGCATGAGCGGTGACATGTACAGTGCCGGCTACCACTCCATCACCAACATAGACTACTCCTCTGTGTGCGTCAGTACGATGAGTGCCAGGTACAGCGGCTGCCTGGGTATGACCTGGCATCAGATGGACGTGCGCCAGCTCTCCTTTCCCGATGCGTCCTTTGACGTCGTCATAGAGAAGGCCACGCTGGATGCCATCATGGTGGGAGAGAAGACGCCTTGGGAGGTGTCCCCTCAAGCTGCCGTTTTCATTCACCAAGCACTCACAGAGGTATTGTTAAAATTCTGTGAATGAAAGGGTTGAATATTGAGTTCACAAGGTTTATTGGAAATCCTTGCCAATATTTAGTTAATTTAGCAAAAGCGCCCATGTTTCTGTTGGGTTCTATGTCATTGTGAAGCAAAGATACCAAACTTCAAATATCATCAATGCTAAAAGTTGCACCTTAGAGTTCAGCTGTGTTGGAGAATTGAGCAGCACTTTGATACAATCCTACAATCCTGATACAATATGTTTTATTCTTAATCAATTAGAAGAAACCAACAAAACATATTGAACATATAGGCCCGAATTTCCGTCATGCCTCTCCCATATTCAGGCCTGTGATTGGGTTGGGATGGATGGGACGGTATAGACATACAGTAGTTCTTCTAAACAGGATAATCTGGTGAAAAACCAAATGCCTAGCTCCTATCAAGTCAGGTCCAGCAACTCCCATAGTCTGTTTAATGCTACAAGAGTTGGAGGATGTTTTTCTTTTGAAAGACTGGCTTTTATTTTCTTGAAGAAAGCGGCTACTTGGAACATATTCTGTATATGTTATTGTCCTGTTTGTACCAATTAGTATTGTACAAACTACCAGCATCTTTACATGCCTATGATGATTTAAACGCTCTGCTGCAGGAGGAGTTTATCTGTAAATGACTTCTCCCTGACAGTGAAATCGGTAATAGTGGCACTTTACATTTCCACTCCATCTCCACAGCCCATCAGTTGACTTACATGAGGTCCAAGGCCTTTCAGCTGCTGGCTGCTAACCACCACTGTTCAGTGTGACAATGACAATGTTTTGGCCATTAGCCATGCTTGACCGTGACACACTAAGACAAGAGAGCACTGCTATCAACTGAAGTAGGTGACTCCCGAGCTCTGACTGTGGAAGAATTACTCATGATGTACTCACTGCCACGTTTGGAGCACTGTTTAATGAGATGTAATTCAAAGTTTAGTTTGTAATTACAGGTGTACTGTAGGCTCCATACACAGACCGAATATATAATTACAGTAAATGCATCAGTGGGAAAGGTCAGATTATGTGAATCATTTTAATGGAGGCAGGGAGAGAGGACAAAGTGCAACCAATGTTAATGCACATGTAAACGAAAGACAAAATACAGGCCTTTTTACCTGATATTTTAAATATACATAAATGAAAATATTAAGGTGCTTTTCAGTCGAATATTCCACTGAAATTGTTGCAGTCATTAGGCTGCCAGCATACAGCATACAGTTCATGCTGATGATTTGGATTCGGCATTAGGTGATGTAGTGTATTAAGGATACACACAGTGAGTTTTAGGGAGAAACACTAAATCTAAATGTAACTCAGAGGGGCTCCTTTAATTGAAAAGGAATTAACAGATTATTAAGTAATGTGAAGTTAGTTAGTTGCAGCTTTGTAGTGTAATGTAATTGATTGTTTATTTTAATTCCGGCCATATTTGAAGGTGTGAGAAAAATCTGTTTAAATTCACGCGTGTATAGGTACAAGAGGCCGACCCTTGTACTGCAGTGGATGCCAACTCCTTAAATGCAATGGACAGCTCTTTACTGACCTTGTAAGACACAAGTATAAAGCTAGCTTGTCATTCCAGCGAGGCAGCAGAGGCCCCGGGAATGAACGGAAAACGGTCCGATTTTTTATCACCTCAATTCAACTCAGGGCTTAACGTTGTGAGTTTAACCAGGGACAGGCCTGACTCTCGAGGAGTAAACAAAGGCATACACTGTGCTGTATATGGGCCAAGATTTGAAGGGTAAAGTCTGACAGACACACACACACACGCACACAACGAAGTAGACAGTGTCCTGGGTGTTTTCCTCTAACAGAAGGAAGTATTAAAGAAGGATCGGTGAGTGTGTTTGGGGCACAGATGGGAGGATTTGACATCCCTTAAAAAGAAGTGGCGCTGAACTCACGAAGCAGCCCTGTTTGAAAGCGATTACAGAGTCGAGTTCCTTCTCAGTCACCATCACCTGCTTCCCCCTCACACCATCTCTTCTTCTCACGTATGTCTCTCACTCTGTTTTCCCCTCATTCCCACTTGTTTTTCTCTCACCTGCTCTGAGCTCAGGGCTGTGTGGAGATGGTAATGTGTGCTTGTGCCATGTTCTGTTTCTGCTGCACTGTGAGTGTTGTTCATCTCGATGTGTGCAGATACCGAGCTGAGTGTGTAATCACAGAGAAGTCGATAGCTTTCTCCGCTGGTGTATTTTTGCTCTCTCACTATAGCATATATAGTCACAGCAGTCACGACTATATGTGTGCGTTATGCAGAAATGTAGGAGGCGGGTTCAAAGCCTACTTTCATTTCTTGCAAAATAAACAACATTCTTACTTAACGAAAAAGAGAAAGGGGAAAGATGAAGGGAGACGAGGGAGAAAGGTGAGAAGGAATGAAAGAAACTGAGGAAGCAGGAAAATCTCCTCTAGAGAATCTTTTGCTGAATTCACACAAAAGAAAGGAGGGATTGAAAGGAGGAGATTGAGGAAAGGGTGAATCTGCATGACAGCACAGGAGAAAGAGAAAAAGAAAGGGGGGCAAAAAGAGAGCGACAGAAAGCTAATGAGCAGTGCACCAGCGTGAGACCGATGGGAAGAAGGTAGCAAAGGAGAAGTAGAAAAGAGGAATAGGGAGGGGAGGGTAAAGGGTGGAGCCCACTGTATTCTAAAATATGCCCTGTGAGTGTTTCCTAATGAAATAAATAGTGTTGAAGTAAAAAGCAAAGAAATATACACTAGAAATGAAAAGATCTTATTTTACATCCGCATTAAAACAAACAAATGTAGATAACACGGGACAAAGTCACAGAAGAAACAACAAATGCACCAGAATATGCAGAACTACAAAGATGTCCTCACGCAGTCATCGCTGGCGCCTGTCAAGGACAGCCTACTGTATATAGAAACATGGAACAAAAGGTGTAGCGACAAACAGTTTTATTTTTGTTGCAAACACGCACACACAATCTCACAGTACAGGCCGAGGTGCACTGAGGTGCGAAATTTATTTCACAGCCTGACATGCCCTGTGAATCACTTTTACTGTTGCTATGGAGACTCTTTTATTGGATATCATTTCAGACTAACACTTTTAATTGCTAACCTTTAGCCTCGTTCAAAGAGGTAGGGGCTAGTTATCTTAGTTCTGTTTAAAGAAGTAAATATGAATCAGAGGTTTAACGTGATACTTTTTTTGATGTACGTGAAGATTATCTCTTTTTTTCCACCTTCAATAAAGGTCCAGTGTCAGCTGTCGAGCAGGTGTCCCTGGTGAATGTTGATTCTTTTTTTGCTTAAGGGCACTGAAGTGAATATTGCTGATAATGCAAGGTCTAGAATTCTAGCTACATTTACAAGTTTGGTAATTCTGCATAGTGTCAGTATATTAGTGAGAGATTTTGAATTATAGCTAAGTTTAAAACTGAGAAATAAAATATGTTGTGAAGAGAGTTGTGTTTTTTTAAGCCCAAAAGTGTCAGTTTGGTGGCAAGAAATTTGAGTCTACCACACTACAAATCATGACGGTCCATGGGGGCCTGCTCTGCTAGATTCATTCAGACTCAATTCAGGACTTCTTGAAATCAAAATCTGTCGTTGGCGTCTTCGCATCCCTCCTCCCACGGCACCGTCAGCTCAACCAGAATGACCTACTGGTCTTTGGTTGACCACGATGCAATGGAGGGCTCTGTGCACGAACCTGTAGAAACCGCAGCCTCCTTCCCACGTAGACCCCCCATCTCCCAGGACCTGGCAGTTTGCAACAGATTGGGCTTCGGTCTTTGGGTTCAGAAAGGCCATGAGGTCGTCCTCGCCTAAGTGTCTACATTGTCCAGGGCTTCCAATACCGCTCCTACTTGAGCACGGGCCACAGCTGTTATTTTGACGTCACCTTGAATCCTTGTGGCGCAATCTGGACAATGCTCAACTCCAGCGCTGGTCCAGGAGCTACATCTACTGCTGCTGAAATTAGGAGGTTCATATTCGGGGAGGCTGTGACCCAGGAGATAGAGAGGGTCATCCTCTAATCGGAAGATTGGAGGTTCGATCCCTGGCTCCTCCAGTCAGCATGTCGGAAGTGTCCTTGGGCAAGATACAGGAGCCCAAATTGCTCCCAAAGGTTGTGCCGTCGGTGTGTTTGAAATGAGCATTACAATAGATCTTGATGAGCAGGTGGCAACTTGTATGGCAGCCTCTTCCATCGGTGCATACATGCGTTTGAACGGGGTAAATGTTGGCATGTAGTATTCAGTGCTTTGAGATTGTGGTAACCAAAGGCGAACTCTCTTGGGGGTGTTCTCTGGTGTTGAGGTGGCTTAAGTACCAAGAGATCTTGCTCCCTGGTTGGAGTTCTCCTTTGTCTCACCGGGTGCAATTTTCTTAGTCATATTTTTTATTTTTTGTTTTCTGTCCCAGTTGGCAAGCGTGAGAGAAACATGTCGTCCTCTTGAGTGTTGAAAACTGAGATAAGAGAATTTACAAAGTGAGATATTTGGTGATTCAATCCTAAGGTATCCCCACCTCCAATGGTCTAATGTAATGTATTGGAAAACTCTGTGTACCCACCTACACATCATGGTGGTGAGGCTCATGTCATGAAATCACCGTTAGCTGGTTTAATGCATACAGTGAGAAACATTCATTGACATTGATTGGCTGTCCCTGGCTCCTGCTGTGGAGAGTCCTCCCGTGCTCCATTACCGGGAAGCTTGGATGCCTGCCGGGAAGACGGCCCCAGTGTCACGGGACATAATGAGGACTCAAATGCAGACAGTCAGAGTAGTGAACAAAAGGGTTTTAATAACTCACGAAACAAAATCAGGTAATCCAAGGACGAGACAAGGGGGGAAATCCGGCAGGGCAAGGCAGGGCAAAAACAGGGCAGACAGACTGGGAAACCGGGAACAGGAAGAGCAAAACGGGCGGGTAGGTAGGAAACAAAAGCAATGATCTGGCAGTGAGTGAGTGAAAGACAGGAGTTTAAATAGTG